GGGGCTAGAGATAAAAGACTTCCCAACAGTTGCCAGGGTGGGTCTAGGAGGCTGGGATGCACTCTCTCTTCTGGACTGTCAGTAAGCAGTAACAAGGAATGCTGGGAATAAGACATTGCCTTTGATTTCCCACAGTGGGCAGTTTAAGATAGTTATTCCACCCCCTCACAGGGACCCTGTGCTAGATGTGAGGGAACTGGGCTGCTTTAATGGATGGGCCTGATGGCTGCGTGCTGCCCTCTCCTGGGGGATGGCAGAACCCGGCTGTGCAGTCACCAGGAGAGTGGGCTGCATAGAACTTGTCACCATGTGGGCTATGCACTGGGGATTCTCTCTTGGGGCCTCGTTCCCCTCTGGCCCTAGAAGGAGGTCCTTGAGGCAGAGAACCAGGCAGCCCACTTGAGCCAGGCCCCGATTGGGAAGGTAAGGCAAGAACAGTCACTCACCTGACATTGGCTTTGTCCACTCCCATCCCAAAACTAATCGTTGCAACAATGACAGGGACCTTCTCCTCCATCCACTCATTCTGCACCAGCGTTCTTTCGGAAGCCTTCAGCCCTATGACGGAGGAGAAGGTGGCAAAAGGAACCCGTATTTCCCTTGGAATCTACCTTGGGTTTGATACTGCGTTGGGCGCTGTACACACACCCTGAATCCATCGGTTACCACCTGTGTGGCCTTGGGCCATGCACTTAACCTCAAAACGACCCTAGCCTGTGTGGAGCACATAGCACTCAATAAGCGTTAAAGCCCAGATTCAAACAACCCAAGCCCACTGGCCTCCAAAACCTGTGCTCCTTCCACAACACCAATACCTGGGCTTCTAAAAACTCATCATCTGCTGCTGGGAGGGCACAGGGTGAGGAAAAAGAATTCAGGAGCCATAGTTCTCATTTTAGATCTCATTTGTGTCCAGACTCCTTTTTATGGATATAAGGGAATTGCTTTAGCTCTGCCTGGGTATCCAGAAAAAGATGACAGACCATCTGATTATCCAGGATCCTTAAAGAACAAGAGACCCACCGAGAGGCTTCAGAGATGGAAGCGACCACATGGCCCAGGCGCCACTTACCTGCATGGTAAGCCTTGGCACTCACACCCCTGTAACTGAGCTCTGTTGCCAGCTGTTCACAAGTCTCTCGGGTCCTGCAGTAGACAATGCCGCAGCCAGAGACCAACTGAACGAAGAGACATAGGAAGAGAGTGTGCATTAAGAACAGAACAATCTGCCCATTTTACTGTGGCCTCCTTTAAAAGAAGCTCTCGCTCTTTCTCCTGTCAGCCTCACAGGTTCCTCTGCGGCAGACCACCAGCAGAACTCTGACACTTTGCAACAAAGCAACTCATCTAACTCCTCTGCTTCCTGTGCTGAAACCTTGGATAGGTCTGGAAAGGCCTCACTCAGAGGTTGGGGGCTCATCTCCCAGAGAAGAATTCCAGGACAAGGGAATTCCACTAAGCGGAATAATGCCAGGAAACCAAAGGAACAACTCTCTGTGCACAAGTTTTAAGAAGCTTCAGCTAGTTCTAAGCAAAGGTCCTAGAAAACCAATTTCCATCTCTATGCTGCAGATACCACCCACTGCTCTTGAGCATCTTGGCCTCCCAAGCCTCAGGGCCCTCACCCCTTTATCAGCCTTCTGTCCAAGAGCCTTAAGGCAGAAGTCCCTCAGGTTCCCATAGGGATCTGAAAGCAGTTCTTTGAACTGCACATCATAGAAGAGGTTGGCCCGAAAGCAGGGAGTCTTGAAGATGGCAACTGGCTGCCTCAGGTGCAGGGCAGCAAACACATCCTCTTGGACTTGCAGGGTGGCTGTGGCAGTCAGAGCCACGCACGGGGCATGTGCCAGGCGTGAACGGAGGGTACCCAGGCGCAAGTAGTCAGGACGGAAGTCGTGCCCCCACTGAGAAACACAATGAGCTTCGTCCACCACCAGGTAGGAGAGCAGGTGGCGGGACACCAGTGAGTTCAGGGTGGGCTGGAAGGAGGCTGAAGCCGCCATCTCTGGCGTGATGTACAGAAGTTTGGTCTGTGGCTTTTCTTGTTCTAGATCAGAGAGCAGCTCCTTTTTCTCCTGTGCCGAGAGCTTGGAGTTCAGGGAATTCACTCGTACCTGCAGGGCCAGCAAGTGGTCCACCTGGTCCTGAGGGAAGAAAGGAAACAGGCCACTGAGGGGAGGACCCAGTAGTCAATGTCACCTTGGCTCGCTGGGCATTTCCCAGCCATAAACTCCTCCTCCCAACCTCCAAGTTCTTCTCTGTGCATACAACAAGGACAGGAGGTACACTGCCTGAGAGCACAAGCTCTGGAGGCAGATGGTCCTGGCTCATTTCTGGCTCACTGAATCACCACAGGCTCTTTGGCTGGCTCTTAGCCTCTAAGACTCTGTTCGTTCTCCCTCTCTTTCTCTCTCTCTGTCTATCCTGTAAAACTGGTAACTACCTAACAGGATAGCTGTTAGCATTAAATGAAATTTTACACTGCAAAGGTGAAGTGAATGCACATAAAGCATTGAGCACAAAGCCTGAGACCTCATGAAACTCATGAAGCACTGTTCCTGTCATTCCATTTCTCTTCATGGTGGATGGCTCTTAACCGCACGGCCACACTTCCTCATTTCTGATTCTGTCAGCCCATCTGCAGGCCTTAAATATAGCCAGAGGTGCAGAGCAGATGTTGACAATGTCCCAACCCACTGATATTAATTTTGCTTTCTATCCATCTGCATCTTCTAACCTGTCAAGAGTACACATGTGTGTCCATGTCCATGAGTAGTTGTCTATGTGTATACAGATATATTTCCATACTCCTCTGGGTGAAAAGTAACAAAGGAGGGTGAGAGACCTCAGGCCATCAAGACCCAGAAGACTCATTCATAACCATATCACTCTGATATGAACTAATAGAGCCCTCACATTTGGACAATTCAGAAACCCAATATAGAAAGGGAGATAGGTAAATTGAAGAAAAGGCAAAAGACCAAACAAATGAGAAGTGACATTTCCAGCAGAAAACAAAACAAAACAAAAAAACCTTCCCCTAAACTTTTTGGGCTCCCATCTTCACTCCCCTAAGCCTCACCTGAATCAAAGCAATGAGTGGAGAGATTACGATGGTGATGCCTTTGGCCAACAGAGCAGGAAGCTGATAGCAAAGGGATTTTCCTGCCCCTGTGGGCATGCACACAAAGACATCCTTGTCACCTGCAAAAAGATAAGACAACAATACTTAACGGTTCCTGCCTAGGGGTACTGGGGTGGCTCAGGCAGTTAAGTGTCTGATCTTGATTTCAGCTCAGGTCACGATCTCAGGGTCGTGAGTTCGAGCCCAGCCTTACTTCAAGTTCTGCACTCAGTCCGGAGTCTGCCCGAGATTCTCTCCTTCTCCCTCTGCCCCTCCCCACACTCGTACACGAGCTCACTCTCTCTCACTCTCAAATAAATAAATCTTTAAAAGAAAACAGATAAACAAATAAATAAATAAATGCTTCCTGCCTTTTATCTTTTTCTTCATCAAGGCTATTGAAAACTGAATGAGTATAGGAAAAGCACCTAGCAGAGTGTCTGGCACACGGAAAGATCTCAGTATAATGCTAATTTCCTTCCCATCCTTCCTGTGTAAAGGGCAGAGATCCAGAGAGATTTGGAAATGGGCACAAACCATTTCCAGTAATGGCAATAACAACCACAAGGGTGAGAAGTCTGAGTCTGTTGGGATATGGATGATTGAATTAAACAGCCATAAAAGTTGAATACTTCTAGATGAGTGTATATAGCTGTGGAGACATGGAAGCAACATCACTTAGAGGTCTTTTGTTTGTAAGTGTTACAATGTAATTAATATTACATTGTTGCTTTTCTCTTGAGAAGCTCCATTTGCCAATATATCTCAGGTTTATAATACTATGACTCTTTCCTTCCCTATTTAGGACCCAGGTCACTCAATCTTCAACAAAGGGCTTAGAAGGTCAGTGACTAGATTAGGCTATTCCTGCCACTCGCGCTACTGCCTACACACAAACGAACATGAATTGAAATCTATGAGTTGTTTTCAAAGACAATCTGTAGCACTGGCTATGAAATGTAAGAACCAGAACAGCTGGGTGATTCTACCAATAAAACTGCAAGTTTTAAGTGACAAGTCTACAAGATTTCCAACAATTATGGACCAAGGGTGGGGAAGTAGGAAGGGTCAAAAGGAGGGGATTGGCACCTTCTGGCAATGCTACAGTATAGCCAGCACAAATGTAAACACAGGTAGTTTGGCAATGTTACCTTTCACTATGGCCATGGTCGCACTCTCCTGTAAAGGTGTCTTAAAAGAGTCAAACCCAAAGACCTTCTTCAACGTGCTCCGGACTCGACGTTCAGGGTCAAAAGAAGGACGGGTACTCATCTTAGCGACAGACAGTGGCCAGAAGTTAAGGTAAAGGTGATGATCGCATGACTGCGATGAAAACTCTGTTCCGCTTTTAAAATACTGCTTATTTTTCTCTAAGAAAATTTATTACTCTCAAGCAATAGATTATTTCCAACTAACATAGCTCCAGATGAACAGCCTCAAGCAACACATTCCTGGGCAATTAACATCTCCACTTCTATGCTCAGGAAAATTGAAACATTGAACTATCCCATGCCATGATATAGCACAGAGCTAGAAATCAGATCACAAGAAACACAAACTGGGTCTTTGAAATAATTTGGAAAAGATGTAATTGTTTTTCGAAGATCCACCTCCTGCTCCTTTTATAAGCGCTGCTATCACGGCCATTCTTCCCCGCCCCCCCCAAGCCCCGATCCCTTCTTCCCACCTCCCAGAGGAGAGTCCATCCCTCTTCTTCCTCTAAGCCCCAGATCCGCTTTTTTCTCCCTTCCCCAACCGAAGCCTCCCTCTCTTCACCCCAAGATATCAGAACTGGGCGTAGGCCACCCAGGAGCGAAGACTCTTGCTGGGCCGCTGCTGCCCGCCGATCGGGAACTACTCGAAGACCCCTATAAGCCACCCTAAATTCTGAGGAGCCGAATGGCTGGGAATCAGCGTCAGGTAAAACCCACTCAACCTTATATCTGTCGCGCAGTGATGACGTTTAAGCGGCTCGGTCGCGAGGGGCGGGGCCAGGCGCAGAAACGGCCGTTTTAATTGGTTTCTGCACAGGAACCGGCGCGGGTTCTCCTGGGATAGGAAAAAGTCGCCTTCCGTCACGGAAGTTGGCTTTTTCGGCTCATAGGAGTGAGGCACTCTGGGGATGTGGGAGTAAGATGGCGGGGAAGAAGAATGTTCTGTCGTCTCTGGCCGTTTACGCGGAAGATTCAGAGCCCGAGTCCGACGGCGAGGCTGGGGTCGAAACGGCGGGCGGCGCGCCTGGTGAGGCCCGAGTAGGGAACTGGAAGGGGAGAATCTCGTGCCTGCGCGGAATGCTGCTCGCCTAGCAGGGCGGGAGGGAAAGGTGGTCATTGTGCCCCAAGTGTCGGGTCCGGGAGCCGCGAAGCGCGATCGAGGCCCTGGTTGGAACAGAGTAGACGCTCTGGAATAAGAATGGGCCTTCTTCTTTCGTTGATTCGATTATTCTGCCGAAACTGTTGAAAGTCTTCTCCGTGCCGGGCACCGTGGGGCATAGGGATGGACCTCCGGGTTCATTGTATAACGGAGAGAGCGATGAGTAGAACGTACGTGGAGTGTGATAAAGGTTGTGGCTTGTTAAATTTGTAACTTCGCATCTTGGAGCGTTTAAATATGTATGTCTGATCTCGCTGGCGACGGAATAATTTGTAGATATGGGGTAGGATCTGGGCATTTTGTGAGCTTTTTAATGCTCCTCAGTGATTCCCTTACTTTGTGAGCTGTTAAAGCCCATCAGTGATTTTGTTGCCCTACTCAGGTCGAGAATCACAATGTTAGGAAATGGGAACAGATTTCTTTGGGATCATAGAGAGGGCAGCAAGTTACCTAACATATCTGGGCCTTCCTTTCCTCATTTGGAGGTTAGCTACTCTCAGTTTTGTGTGGTGTCTTCCAGTCAGGAGGTTCTCTGGTGGCTTCCCAGTAATTTGTAGCGTTTTATATTTTTTGTTGTTGGTTGTTTCGGTTTAAAGGTAGAAGGAGATTTTGCTTCTGGAGTAGATATGATTGGTAGCCCCTCTGAGGGCCCCAGTTAAAGCTCCTGTTCCTAGGGGAGGACACACAAAAATGAGGGCAACAGAGTCCTTGTCCTTGTATGAGAAGACAAGTTCTGGTGCCTCTGATACTAGGTAGAGATACCCATATCAAAAGAGGTTTTCAGACAATGTGCAAGAAAAGAGTAGTAGTTCAGAGAAGAGAAGGCTTCAATTGGCATACTAGATGGATGGGAAGCATGAAAGAAAGAATTTAGCATTTGGTTTTCTTCCATGTTCTTTTAATGATTTTATCCACTACATTGTGGTCTTTCCAAAGGCAGATTCTGGATCTATAGTCACTTAGATGAGATTTAGGCACCCCTTTGATCTTCAAGGGTAGTTCTGGCCACTCAAATAACTGAAATGCTGTCTTGCATTTTTGAATGCCTTCATTCATTTTTCTTTTCTCCTCTGTTTCAGAGGAGAAAGGTGGATTAGTATCTGAAGCCTATGGAGAGGATGACTTTTCTCGGCTTGGAGGTGATGAAGATGGTTATGAAGAAGAAGAGGATGAGAACAGCAAACAGTCGGTAAGTAAATCTGTTCCCAAATCCAGAGTTGCTCAAAGCATCATTTCATTTGTCAGAAATCTTCGAACTGTACCAACAGTGTTCCATTCCACCGCTAAAGTCATTCCCCTCCCTTCCCCCGCTTTTTATTTGTTATCAGTTGAGGAAACTGGGTTGGATATCAGTGCTCTGTTTGAAAACGAAACCTGTTTTCATCTGGACCATTTTGTATTAACTTTTGAATTGAAATTTGGGGGAAGAGATAATGGACTATTTTATTTAACTGAGATATGTTTCATGTTGGTTTTCCCTGTTAAGATAGTTTATTCCATTTGTAACAATGCATTCATGCTAACTGGTGTATCATTTATATCTGCACTCAACTGTATTATTTTTAATCTTGGTTGGAGTTTATTCAAATCTTTCAGCTTATCAAAAAGATTAGGAAGGGAAATTTTTTTTTTGGAAGGGAAATTATATAGTTTTTTATTCGTGGTTTGACCCTTCTTAACTTCTTTCTTGATATTTTACTTGAAACTTTTTAGCAGAGTGCCCGCGGTTCTTGAGCACAAATCTTGCCTGATGTTTAGTATGTGCTGGCAACAAAGAAAAGAGAACTTTGTCTTAATTAACCAGAAAGCCTTTGGATACACTATCACCTGAGCCTCAGGAGCCAGAATTTAAAAGTTTGGAGAGAAAGCAAGGATTCAACCTGGTGCTTAGCACAAAGACATACAAAGTGAAATCTGGATATAGAATCTGGTTATTAAGCAACATCTTTAACTGAGATACTCAATGTACTTTATTACTTGTTTGAAAGTTTTCTTATGTATTGATATTTAAATATTAGTGTTAAAAGACTTTCTAAGTAAAACAAAAAAGCATTTTGTATTTGATGCTCTTTTGGAAGAAATTTTCATGTCCTTAGCCCCACCATTAATGCTGATAATTCAGAATTGACTAAAATTGTTTAGAAAAGCTTTGCAAATTGTTTTCTTTTCTTGCTTTTTCTTTAAGTGCACACATACTGTCTTAACACCATAACTGTTTTCTTATTAAATGTGCATGGTGTGTCTCTGAAGTGTTGTTTCACATTGCTTTGCTTAGAATTTTCATCATATTTAAGCTTTATATCATTCTACTAAAATCCTCTCATCAAATCCCAATATAGACATTCTAAAATGTGATTGTATTTGGCTGTGCTACATCTCTGATTATTTGGCTTGATTGATTTCATTTTGAGGAAATCATGGAGATTGCATTTAAACCTTTGGGCTCACTGGCAACCGACAGGACAGTTAAATCTCAAAGCCATCAGTATAGTTTGTTCCAGTCTCACAGGTGATGTTTATATTAACATCTGGGGCGTTACTTAATGTTTGGGTTAAAGCGTAGCTCGATTGAGAAAAGCAATTTCAAATGAAACTTAATTTTTTCCTGGGTGTTAAGTTAAAGGCTCTTGTGCATTGGGGTGTTCTTCGAACAGTCATGGATATAGCTACATAATAGGGTAGCTGATCTTGAACCTCCAGTAGCATTCAGTGGAATGGTGGGCTAGCCCGTGTGAGGCCAGTGCACGTTTTGGAGAATGCCTTGTTCACATGGTGCTTTGTGTCAGGCAGGCCGTTTGGATCAGGAACAAGACTGGATAGAACGGGTCAGTGGCAGTTCTGTGAGAGCTTGGATGGAGGCAGGGCCTACTTGGCCAGGACCCAGAAAAAGCCGGGTGTTGCTCTTTAGCCCCCCTCCCTGGGTCACTCGCCCCGGTCATTTGACACCTGCCTTCCTGCTGTTCATGTAGCTGTGACTGCTGCTGAGCTGAAGTGCTGGGGTGTAGTTGTGTGGGGGTCATGGCACTCTAACCGTGAATGATGTCATGGTAGGTCTGAGTCTGACATCCTTGTGTGTATGAAAGGCAGAGAAGGAAAAAAAGGGTTCATGTTCCTGGTTTTAAATAAGTGATATTTCATTGGAAACACTATGCCTGTTTTATCCTGTGGGGCCTGGTCTTATTCTTTTCTGACACATTGCAACCTTTTCCATTTTTATGTATGTGATTTTTAATCTCAGGCATTTTCATCGCGTAGACTATGGCACTGCTGGAGTCACGACTTAGAGCTGCTGATGTTCTTTTCTCCACCCCCCACCCCCCGGAACGTCTCCTTTTCCCTTTCTCTTTCTCTAGTTCTGGGTCACAGGGCAGGGGAGGGGTTCTTGGGATGGCCCAGGCTGGGTACATTGCTCCAGCCCCTAGTTATGCATGTGAGAACCCTCAGGCCCGCTCCTTTAAGCTTAATCCTCTAAATTCTTTGTCTTGTAGGAAGATGACGATTCAGAGACTGAAAAACCTGAGGCTGATGACCCAAAGGTATTTGGTGTTGGCTGTGGTGGGGTGGCTGGATGCGAACAAAGCATTGTAACATTGTGGCTCGGTTCCTGTGTCTGGGCCAGGTTGGTCCCGCTAACACACCGTGCTAACATACTGTGCAACCACGTGTACATTTTCTGGGATGAAACCCGCTTTCTAAAGAAAGGAGGTCACCGTGGAATGAGTAAGTCCTGAGGCAGCTTGGATTTCCAGCCTTGTAGATAGTGCCATATCTCCACACTAGAAAGGCGAGAGGCCTGGCTGAGCATAGCAGCCTGCATCTGCTCTGTAGCCAGGTGAGCTTGGTGGGGTCACTGCACCTGCAGGTGAGTTAGATGTGGGAATGTTTCTAGAATCAGGAAGCCATAAGGGCTGCCTTTTATACTTTTTTTGTTTTGTTTTTTAATAATTTATTTATTTCACAGAGAGACATAGCGAGAGCAGGAACACAAGCAGGGGGAGTGGGAGAGAAGCAGACTTCCTGCCGAGCAGGGAGCCCAATGCGGGGCTCGATCCCAGGACCCTGGGATCATGACCCGACCCGAAGGCAGACGCTTAACGACTGAGCCACCCAGGTGCCCCTGCCTTTTGTACTCTTCAGTCATCTAGAAATGAGGAAGGGACATGAGAGGGTCAGACAGAGTGAGGCCTCTCCCCAGCTGCTAGAGAAGCTGCACCTAATCCTTGTTTCCCCAGGCCCGTGCCCATCCACTTTCAGGTAAACAGAATGGTCTTTCTGAAACAACATTGCCATTTTTTCTGATATTTCCCTCTTGGTAGCAGCCCGGAGTAATTAGCAGCATTTCCTGTCATGCTCCTTGACCTATTGTGATGATGGTTAAGCCCCCCCCCCCCACCCTGCCTTGTGTCAGGTAGGCTTGCTGTACTGTGCCTGTTGAGGACACATTCTTTAGGGAACAGACATTTCTCTTTCAAAGAGAAAGTCTAATTCCATCACTCTAGGCCTAGGGAATACAGGCCAAGTTTTGTGATTAAAAGCTACTTTGAAACCAACTGAAGCCTTCAAGGCAACATAGTAGAACTTTGGAAAATTGTACCAAATTATAATCAAAACAGTAGTTTATCCGAAAATATAGTATGAGCTGTTTCAAATTTGAACTGATTCTGTGTTTGGATAGAACTGTGTGTGACCATTGAAATAAGCCTGTGAAAGGCTGTGGATGATGCGGATAACACATTTTACCAGGGAAGAAAGTTTGGGCCCCAGCATGTAGAAGAAAGAAAAAACTTGAGCCCTAGACACTGCAAATGCCACTCCTTTCTGTGCCAAGTAAGGAACTCAGGCTTAACTCATCCAAGCATTATAAGCAGGAGGGCAGGCCTGTGGCTTGGGTCAAGGGCGGCCACACCTCTGCTTGGGCTTGCGGAAGAAAATTGGCAGTAGTGGTAGTAATCTTATGTCTTAATGTTTGGGGTGTGTGGGCCTTAGAGCCCATGCATGAGATAAACCTGAGGAGCTGCCAAGTGCTAGAACTTCATTATGGAGGAAAAGGAGGGTTTGTGGGACCTGGAGCCTTTGTGTGTGTAGTGGCTGGCCTTTGCTTAAGGCTGGAAGGCCTTCTGGGGAAGTTGGCTAGAGAAAAAGGTATAGGTACTTCACTGTCACCCCTTCTGGAATACAGCAAACTAAACAGCAAGTCCCCCAGAAGTGAGGAAGAACACCCAGGGCTGGGAGAGAGGGGGGCAGAATTGGGAAATTTGTTAAAGTGTCTTGTGTCAGCCTTTCTCAGTATCACATGAAGGTTGGGAAGACGTGTCGTTTATACTCACCCTTTGACTGAGGTGCCTTACTGTATTTCATTCAGTCATTTGAACTTCGAGTCTGGTTGTGGAATGAAAAGTGTTCTGGAGGGGTACCTGGGTGGCTCAGTTGGTTAAGTGACTTCCTTCAGCTTGGGTCATGATCTCGGTCCTGGGATCCAGCCCCACATCGGGCTCCCTGCTCGGCAGGAGGCCTACTTCTCCCTCTCCCACTCCCCCTGCTTGTGTTCCCTCTCTCGCTGTCTCTCTCTCTGTGTCAAATAAATAAAATCTTTAGGGCGCCTGGGTGGCTCAGTTGGTTAAGCGACTGCCTTGGGCTCAGGTCATGATCCTGGAGTCCTGGGATCGAGTCCTGCATCGGGCTCCCTGCTCAGCGAGGAACCTGCTTCTCCCTCTGGCCCTCCCCCCTCTCATGTGCTCTCTCTCTCTCTCTCTCTCTCTCATTCTCACTCTCTCAAAATAAATAAATCTTTTAAAATAAAATAAAAAAATAAAATCTTTAAAGAAAGAGAAGTGTTCTGGAACAATTTCTGTTCTTGAGAAGTCCTCAGAGAACAGAACACAGAATCCACCCTTACAGTGACTTGTAGTTCTTTTGGAGGATGAGTGTGGAAGGGGTCAGACAGAGCTCTCCAGCTCACATGTCCTCAAGTTCAAAAATCATGAGTGTTCATGGCATCCCAAGGCCTGGAAACAGTCTTCTGTGCTCCCCATGCCTTAGTCCTGGTGCTGGCTTACTCTCCTGCCTCAACTGCCCTCAGACTGTCTTCAGGCAGTGGCCTCCACCTGAAACCCCTACCAACCCTCCCTTTATTCCAGAACTCTTGTGGCATACTTAATTGATTTTTAACAATATATATATTTTTTAAGATTTATTTACCTTTTTTTCTTTTTTTAAGATTTTACTTATTTGACAGACAGCGAGAGAGGGAACACAAGCAGGGGGAGTGGGAGAGGGAGAAGCAGGCTTCCTGCGGAGCAGGGAGACCGACGTGGGACTCAATCCCAGGACTCCAGGATCATGACCTGAGCCGAAGGCAGACGCTTAACAACTGATCCACCCAAGCACCCTAAGGTTTATTTACTTATTAGAGAGAGAAAGCCTGTGCATGCACGCACGGGTGGGTGTGGGGGGAGAGGGAGAGTCTTAGGCAGACTTGATGCAGGGTTCGATCTCATGACCCTGAGATCATGACTTGAGCCGAAACCAAGAGTTGGATGCTTAACCAACTGTGCCTCCCAGGCGCCCCAACTTTTAACAGTATTTTTGAGTTCCAAGCCTTCAATTTTGAATATTTCTGCCTTAAGTACGTGAAGTTTCTAAACCAGGATGGATTAGAGGCGCCACTTATTTTGTTAGCAAGTGGATTGATGTCATAACCGTCTTTTCCACCAGATGGCACTCCTTCCTGCTTTGGCTTTTTATTTTTATTATTTTTTTATTTTTATTTTTAAAGATTTTATTCATTTGAGAAAGAGAATGAGAGAGAGCACGAGAGGGGTAAGGATCAGAGGGAGAAGCAGACTCCCCGCTGAGCAGTGAGCCTGATGCGGGACTCGATCCCGGGACTCCAGGATCATGACCTGAGCTGAAGGCAGTCGCTTAACCAACTAGCCACCCAGGCGCCCCTATTTTTCTTATTTTTTTAAAGATTTTTATTTGTTTGAAAGAGGGAGAGAGAGCAGGGGGAGGGGCAGAGGAAGAGGGACAAGCAAACTCCCTGCTGAACATAGAGCCCAACATGGGGCTCAGTCCCGTGACCCCGAGATCACAGCCCAAGCTGAAGTCAGACACTCAATCGAATGAGCCAGCCAGGCACCCCCTGCTTTGGCTTTTTAAAATCTGCATTTGGTTTTTTACTACAGCAGTTCTCAAAACATTTTGGTGTCTTTACACAATTAAAAACTGAGGATCCCAAAGAGCTTCACTTCATTTTGGTTTTATCTATTGGTATTTACTATCTTAGAAGTTAAAACTGAGAAAAATTTTAAACAGTTGTCATTTTAAAATAACAAACCCATTGCATATTTTTTTATAAATTATTTTCCCTAGTTTCCAAGCATTTATACAATTAAATCCTCATTTCTTTTTTTTTTTTTAAGACTATTTATTTGATAGAGAGAGACACAGTGAGAGAGGGAACACAAGCAGGGGGAGTGGGAGAGGGAGAAGCAGGCTTCCCGCAAAACAGGGAGCCCAATATGGGGCTCAAGCCCAGGAACCTGGGACCATGACCCCAGCCAAAGGCAGATGCCTAACAACTGAGCCACCCAGGCACTCCTAAACCCATTACATATTAATATAAATCACGTTTTATCAAAAAATAACTATTTCTGAAACCGAAAAAAGTTGATGCAAAGACGGATGGTTTTCCCATTTTGCGGATCTCCTTAGCATCTGATGTCCATCTAGATGGATAGCTAGGTTCTCATCACTGCTTCTGCACTCAGTCTATTGTTTTTGTTTTTTTTTAAGATTTTATTTTTATTTATTTGACAGAGACACAGCGAGAGAGGGAACACAAGCAGGGGGAGTGGGAGAGGGAGAAGCAGGCTCCTCATGGAGCATGCGGGGCTCGATCCAGGACCCTGAGATCATGACCCGAGCCGAAGGCAGTCGCTTAACCAACTGAGCCACCCAGGTGCCCCTGCACTCAGTCTGTTGCAGTGTGTTACTTTGGTTGAAGTAGTTGAAGAAAATCTGGCTTCACACACAGGTCATTGGGAAGAGGAGACATATTTTAATAGCTCTTTAGGTGATTGTAGATCTTTTTTGATACTTGATCAGAATTCAACAAGAGATGGTTTCCTAAAAGTTACTTGCACTATGGAATGTGAAATGTTCTCAGTGAACTTTTTTTTAAGATTTTATTTATTTGATAGATGCGTGCGCACAAGCGGGGGGAATGACAGGCAGAGGGAGAAGCAGGCGTCCCGCGGAGCAGGGAGCCCAATGCAGGGCTTGATCCCAGGGCCCTGGGATCATGACCTGACCAAAGGCAGGTGCCCAACCGACAGTGAACTTTTTGTACTCTGCTTTATTTAAGTCCACAGGTCGGCCTTGCACTCCGAATGGCTGTTTTACCCATCCATGATCTCCATCCTCGGGCGCTGGTGATTTAGTTAGGAAATGTTGGTTCACCGAGCTATACAGATTGCAGTGATGTATTTTGTTCTCTGATATCCAAAAAATTATGTTTGTAAATGACATTACTAAT